GGGGCTGGGGAGATGGCTCGGAAGTATTAAGCGCTTCCCTGGCAAGCACAAGGGCCTGAGTTCAATCCCCAGTTCCACAAAAAATAAATAAATTTAGTACAGGGTCTTATTACACAGATCGGACTCATACTGATCCTATTTTGTCTCCCAAGCGCTGGGGATTACAGGCATGCACCACCACACCCAGACCGTGGCTGGCTCAGCACACCCAGGGGCAGGGCCGGCATTTGTGCTTGCCAAAGCAGGCACTTAAATCTGCTGAGCTATCTCTCCAGCACTTGTATCCTGGCTCTTGATGTCTACCCTAGCACTCATTCTTTCCCATGTAACATGTTTGGACAGGCCTATCTACACTTCATTAACTCTGTCACTGAATGGCGTAGTGAGCTCACCTAGAGATCTACCTACCCTTAGCCACTAGGATCCACTCTAGTGAGGAGCAGCCGCCTATACACATGCTGGCCTTCACTTGGACTTTGCGGAGTGGAATGAGCCCTGCAGTCAGGCAATATGAAATCAGTCTCAGCACTATTAGTTCTTGGATCTTAAGCCACCCAACGTGCAACTTCTCCTCACTTCATCCAGCAGATGGTAAGATAGATCCTTATGGGGCTGTTGTGAGGATTAAATAAAACCTAAACAGAGGGTTTACGGTGTAGTTCAGTGGTAGAGCACGTGCTTAGCATGTGTGAAGCTTAGGTTCAATCCCCAGCACCACAAAGAATAAAGCCAGATAACTGCATAAATGGTGGGTGTCCTCAACAGCATTTTCTCTGGTGCTGCATTAGATGTACGAGAACTTCATGGAGGAGGTGGATGCAGTGGACAATGGGATCTCCCAGTGGGAGGGGGAACCTCGTTATGCCCTGACCACTAATCTGAGTGCCCGGGTTGCTCGACTTAATCCCACCTGGAACCAGCCCAACCAGGACACAGAGGTAAGGAGGAACCCTAGAAAAGAGATCTTGAAACACAGTAAGAACCTAGAGAAAAGAAGTGGGAATACTGGTTTCTCCTAAGCCCTAACAAAGTACAGTTCAGGCCACAGCTATGCTTCTGAGTCTGACCACCCCCAGGCAGGGTTCAGGCGTGCAATGGATCTGGTTCAAGAGGAGTTTCTGCAGAGACTAGACTTCTACCAGCACAGCTGGCTGCCAGCCCGGGCCTTGGTGGAAGACGCCCTAGCCCAGCGCTTCCAGGTACAGACCTCATGGCTGGTGGGCTGCTGGTCAGTGAGGGATCACACTTTTCACCTAAATGTAGCCATGCCCTACTTCCCTTTCAGGTGGACCCAAGTGGCAAGATATTGGAACTGGCAAAAGGTGGGTGCCCTTGGAAGGAGCATCTTTACCACCTGGAATCTGGATTGTCCCCACCTGGCACCATTGCCTTTGTTATCTACACTGACCAGGCTGGACAGTGGCGGGTCCAGTGTGTACCCAAGGAGCTCCACTCCTTCCAGAGCCGGTAAGCCCAGGAAACTACCCTGCACACTCAAGCCTGCTTCAGCCCAGTACGAAGAGCTGTAAACCTTGACCTCTGCTCTGTGGGCCTCTCAGTTCCCTCTTTCTGCTCACTTGTAGGCTGCCCCTGCCAGAGCCATGGCGGGGTCTTCGTGATGAGGCCCTAGACCAGGTCAGTGGGATCCCTGGATGCATCTTTGTCCATGCCAGTGGCTTCATTGGTGGGCACCACACTCGAGAGGGTGCACTAAGCATGGCCCGTGCCACCTTGGCCCAGCACTCAATTCCTGCCACAAATCTTTAGTCCAATAAAATTTTCTCCAACTCTTAGTGACCAGCCTCTGACCCATTACTGCCTTATACCATCCTAGGAACTTACTCAAATTGGCCAAAGTGGAACATCTATTATGAGACCCCTATGTTAGGTATTTTCCTCACCACTGACTTGTCAAGTTTTGCTTCCTAAGTCATTTAAAACCATTCAGTTCCTAGGACTACACACACTGACCAAGTAAATTCACAAGACTAGAGACAGTGATGAGCCAGGCATGGTGGTACACACATGTAATCCCAGCACTCAGAGGAGGCTGAAGCAGGAAGATCATTGTGGAGTTTGAGACCAGCCTGGGCTACAAAGTGAGCTCAAGGCCAGCCTAAACAGCACAGCCAAGATCCTGTCTCAAAAAGACCAAAAAAAGAGAAACAGTGGCAAGCCAGGTATAGTGGTGCACACCTGTAATCCCAGGATTCAGAAGGCTGAAGCAGTAAGATTGTGGCAAGTTCAAGGCTAGCCTGAACTACACAGTAAAACTCTTTGTCAAAAAAAAAGAATAAGTGCTTCCCTGGCAAGCGCAAGGATCTGAGTTCAATCCCTGGTTCCGCCAAAAAAAAAGCAATCGTATCCTAAAATCTATGCCTTGCCTCCCTCCAAACTATATATCAGTTCAGCTCTCTAGAAAACTGTGAGTGGAAAACAGTTTTTTAATTATTAGATGTGAGGGGAGTGGGGCTGAGCAGGCGATCGTCCTGGGAGAGGATCCCAAGGGGCAGAGGATGTCTCAGTAAAGAGTGGCAGGTCAGGCATGCAGCCTACACCTCCAGCTGGGGGCTCTTTGGCCCGGCCAAGTACTGGGCTAAAACGTGGAAACTGGGCATTGACGAAGTACAGAGGGATGTGAGCAATTCGGCCTGTAGACCAGCACTGCAGAGAATGAATGGAAAAGAAAAGTATCAGGCATGGGCCCAAAGGTGACCTTCCAGCAGTGGCCCACAGCAGCTAAGGGCCTGAATATCTCTACCCTACCAACCCAGCAGACTGGCTTACCACACTGAGCAAGGCCCCTTTGTTGAAGGAAGGATGGAAAGAGATGAGCTGGGCCTGGGCTCCTGGCTCCCCCTGGATAATACCACTAGAAGGAAGTGGAAGGAGGGGTGAAAGGTAACCAGAGGTGTCAGGAGTGAGGTATGTGTGGTGTGGTGATGCCCACCCAGCACTTACCAGGGAAGTAGCTCAAACACAGGGCTGTTTCTAGTACGAAAAAGGAGAATGACTGATTTCCCATCCTGGACCTGTGGGTTTCCTGTAAGAGGAAATGGGTTGAGTTGGGAGTACAGCTCAGTGGTAGAACCCTTGATTCATGTGTGAGGTCCTGGTTCAGTCCCTAGCATCACACACAAAGGTCCACCAATAAGGGGAAATCTAGAGACAGCCACAGGCAGGGGCAGAGCTAGACTCCAGGCAGAAGCAGGGACACACCTGATTCCTGGGCAGACATTGTGGCCTGAGCAAAGCCATTCCTCCCCGACACTTACCTTTCATGAGCACAGCCAGACGCTCCCCACTGGGGTCCCAGACCATGGAGTGGGCCTCTCCCCCAAGCCTATAAGCCAGGAGAAAAGATTAGGAGGGCTCAGTGTGACCCCTTCTGCCTTCTACCCCTCCCCCACTCAGCTCACCTTTCCTCACAATCTGGTGTCTGTATTATTGTCTCAGAAAGATCTGCCACAATTGTTGCAGACTTCGCGCCTCCAACACGCCCCTTCCCCTCACCTATGGGTGAGGACAGAGGTTCTCAGGGCAGGAATCAGCCCTCCCACGGGTCCCTGGCCAGCTCAGGCATTAAAGTGTGCCTCAGAGTGAGGTTCTACAGCATGCTGCTCCCTCTGGTCACCTCAGATATTCCACTTTCTGAAGTGATGCTTTAACTCACCACATCGTTCTGGGAATGACAAAGAGTAAATCAGTGGCTCCCCCAATACAGTGAACAGCAGTCGGTTCCCATCTGGGCTCCAGCAGCCAGTCTAGGGTCAGGGAAAGGAGGTCACAGGAAGCAGATGAGGTGGGGAGCCAGGCCTGGAGGATCAGGCCCATTGGAATCCCCTCCTCCCAGCTTCTGTGAATCCCAGCCCCCTTACCTGACAGCGCCCTGAGAGAGTTGGCCATCTCTCACAGGTCCACATCTGGGCCTCCCAGACTCTAAAACATGGGCAACAAAAGGATTAGGGTGCCAGCCCCAAAACCTGGCCCAACCTCCCTCTGGCAGTCCACAGTGAGGTTCCAGCAGTCACGTGGCTTTCTCCAGGTCCTTGCCCTCACTCTACCTTTCTGCCACTCACCGGAAGACAGCTGAAGGAGTGGTGGCCAAGACTTTGCTGCCATCTGGGGACCAGAGCAGGTTGGTAACCCCACCTCCTCGAAACCACGGAAGGGGGACACAGATCTCTGTTGAGATATCCCATACCTATGAGAGGGCGGGAAAGAGGAGCACAAGTACCCTATGAGCTCACAGCGAGCTACTCTTCAACACAGAAAAAAACCAGAAAAGGCAGAAGCGAGAAAGGGACTGTTACTGGCTACATCTGTGATAAAAGTGAATTTGGTTCACTTAAATAATGCAGTGGGTGGAAATGATATGCATTTAAAATGTTAACACCCTGTGAATGCTTTGGATTTAAAATAAACTTCTCGGGCTGGTGAGATGGCTCAGTGGTCTAAAGCACCTACTTAGAACAAGTTGAGCAAAGTACAGGGGCCACAGTTCAATCCCCCAGCACCACATGCCAGCCAGCCCCGCACCCTGGTGGGCTGAGCTGGCCACACACACACACACACACAAACAAACAAACACAAATAAATAAAAGATTAAAAAAGTTAAAGGAAGTAAATGCTTTATACAGTCATAATTACAGTATGCTGAGAAAATAAATTGAAGATGATTTGAGAAATCAGAAAGACATTACTTGTTGCTGTGTAGCAAGAACCAACATTGTGAAAATAGCAATTCTCCCAAAATTGTTATACAGATTAGATGCAATCCCAAT